TCTGTATGTGCGCACTGGGCAGCACGGGCACAAAGAGGTAGTCGGTCAGGCTACGAGTGGGTCCTTCTTCTTGGGCTGCACCCCGAGACAAAATGCCGACATAATTCAGCTCTTGGAATCTTTGCTCAGCTGCCAAGTGACGGTCCACTGGCGCGGCAGCATCATCGAAACTGAGGCGGCGCTGCGGGCGAGTAGCTCCACGAAGTTCGCTCTCCTTGTCTTGCTGGGCTGCCAGGTGGCGGTCCTCGGGAACGTCTACCACCGAGTAAAAGCCGACGTTGTAACGAGTTCGGAACGAATCTTGCAACTTCCGGCCGTTGGTCCCCGCGGGGGCTTTGTGGTGGTCCGAAAAGTCCACGGAAGCGCCGGCACGTGGTTGGATGCCATGGGGCTGGTTGCCTCGAAACGATGGCACGGTGGATGCACTGACAAGAGCAGCCATGGTGGTAAGGGCAGTGAACACTTTCATTCTTGAGGGTTGGAGGGTAGAGCGAAAAAGGCACAATGAGCTATCAGGCAACAAGATCAAAACAGTCTCGATGGATTCTCCATATTGCAGTCTTGATGAGGCCTTCGAGATACGGGTTGTGCGGTGCCATGGCCTTATTACATTGCACTGCAACACGTTGATGAATTGAATTGAGCTGATATTCCCTTTTGTCAATTTCCTTGTGAAAGTGCAATGTGGGCACTCTGCTGCTTTCACGTACAGTTAGTTTACTTGGTGCTTGTTATGAAAACATCAGCCGCCGTCGATGTCAATCGCGATTGAACTTCTTAACTAAACTCACAGTCAATATCTATGATATGGTACAGTACACTATGTCAATATCTATGATATGGTACAGTACACTATGTACGGTTTTGACATGGATAGCGAGTGCCAACTCTAAACCTCATTTGAATCATTGCTCTCGTTCGGATGTGGCTTTCTCTCTCGTCCATCCAAACATCAATCACAGCTGCATTCAGGGCTTCAACGAGCAACTGAGTTGACAACATACCCAAGCAAACTCAAAAGTACTCAGAACAGTAAACTCAGAATACTCATGCTCTGAATAGCAATGATTATTGAAGGGGGGGTTACATTTAAATTTTCATATCAAACTCCAGATCAGTCAACATTCAGTAGCCCCAACGTCCAACTTGTACTTTTATGAAAATTGAGCCCACAATGCACCTCTTTCCATCAATGTGTGTATCCTATTGATCCTTGTGGTGAAAAAGGTTAGCTGCATCGAAGCAACGCCACCAAGTTGGTATGGGGAAGCTCAAATATTAGCTAGGTACTGCATCTGTGCGTGAAACGATGTCCACAGCAATGTCCATCGGCCTAACTCATTACCTCTAACAGGACAGCACTCAATCACAAACGAGATAAACTTCACTTGTACTATGTAGTAATATTAGGCAGACACCCAACCGTACTATCAAGCTGGAAATTCAAAGGCACAAGCCGCGGACTTGGTTGTTAGTCGCTCTAGTCGGATGGCGACATATGACCAACTTGTTGGATACCGATCGAGCGTGCACCGCCCAATGCCTTGGCCTTGGCAACCGCACGGGGATGGAATGCATTGGCTTCGCCCCCCGCACCAATCGAGGTGGGAAGCACGGGCACAATCAGGCTGTCTCCCACGCTGTCCAACTCAACGCCCCACAGTTCTTGCCCCGAGTGTTGTTGCTGACCAGTAAGGCGGCGTTCGTCCGGAAGTTCAAAGAAGCCGCCGGTTGGCTTTTGGCCGGCGCGGATGTCCCCTTCTTCGTTCTGAATGTGCGCACTGGGCAGCACGGGCACAAAGAGGAAGTCGGTCAGGCTGTGAGTACCTTGCTCATGGGCTGCACCCCGAGACAAAATGCCGACAAGTTTCAGCTCTTGGAATCTTTGCTCAGCTGCCAAGTGACGGTCCACTGGCGCGGCAGCATCATGGAAACTGAGGCGGCGCTGCGGGCGAGTAGCTCCACGAACTTCGCTCTCCTTGTCTTGCTGGGCTGCCAGGTGGCGGTTTTCTTCTTCTGGAGCAGCACCCGCAGCGACAACGTCGTTTTCGCCTTCTTCCTTGAGGCGCCGGGTGGGTCCTTGCTCTTGGGCTGCGCCCCGATAGAGAAGACCGACATATTTCTCGGCGCGGTATTGTTGCTCAGCTGTCAAGTGACGGTCCACTGGCGCGGAAGCAACACGAAAGCTGGTTGCGCTGGCAACAGCAGCCATGGTGGCAAGGGCATTGAACAATTTCATTCTTGAGGGTTGGGGAGTACAGCGAAAAAGGCGGAATGAGCCAACGTTAGGCAAGGCAACCATGTCGAATACAGACCATTTGGTTGACCACATTGCAGTGTTGATGGGGTAATGGGGTATCTCGGATTTTCGTTAATTTGATTGCATCGCACTAAGAGAAGGATTGAACTGCGCTGAAGTTCTTTTGATAAATAAAGTGCAATGTCGACATTGGTGCTGCGGAAAGTGAGGTACCTCAAGCGAAAAACCAATGGCGAATGAGATTGCTGCTGTGAAACATCAAACTTCAACGCTACGAAGAGCATCTCCACCGGTTGGGACTCATGACCTGGCCTTATACGGATAAATCACGGATAAATGAGAGTCTTATGCTGATTCCAGCGATAAGTTTCATTTCCACACCACCCGTGAGACTTAAATGCGCGGGATGACGAGGGGCTGTGACAGTGATAATGAGAGTATTTACATCAACCGCGACCCTTCGCATTCCATCATAGACCGAATCGTTAACATTTACTTCGAAAGTATAGCTCAAGGGAGTAATACGAGCCTTCGATGACGAGAAAGTCGCTTGCTTTCGCATTACATGCTGCTCCGTGGAGCATCGTCGCAATGCCACTGGCAAACATAGAGAAAACAAGGTCGCCCGTGGCATCTTGTTGGAAGTACTGTAAATGGGTCAATTCCTATCATCGCCGCACATCATAGAAGCCATAACCTGCAGCAGCGCGTGGAAGGCGCTGGACGACGGTGGTCGCGGTGCAGTCGTCTGGCGCGAGCGACTGGTTGTCCATCTCGCTGTTGCCGCCCGGTCGGCCCGGCAGCAGTACCACGAAAGGTGGGCGACCACCTGAGCCTGTTGGTGAACAAAGTGGCGTGGACGGAAAGAGGAGGACGACTTGATCTTAAGACAGGGCTCCCACGCGAAGCTCCCGAGCTGCCGCAAAACGAACCACGATGGTCCGGTTCATGTCCCTAGCCACCACCACCTCGGCAATACTCACCTTCGTGACCTCCATCATCGCGACTGCCCTGTCCGCCTGCAGACCGGTCACCTCCACGGCCCATCGCAACGTCAGCCTTCGTTGTCATCAGTGTGAATTGACAGACTGTATATGTTTGGACTTATTCAGACCACAATAAAACCAACGGGTGGGAGTATAAGTCCAAAACTGGTCCTATCTAAAGGTTATCCGTATGAATCAGACCTTTAAGTGTGACGAGTGGAGATGCTCTCACGACCATACAGTTTACCAGTAACTGTGAGTAATCTGATTGTACTACTACGTAGTACTACGTAGTAGTACTGTATATTGCCAGCTGTTTAGGATAGCGGTGCAACTGTGGTTGAGATTTTGATGGATACGGTGAGAGTGAAACCTTATACTAGTACTACGTAGTACTTCAGAAGTAGAGCAGACTGGGTATTTTCAGGGGTTATTTCAGGGAAAAACTACTTCCGGATAAGTTTACCCATTGTTTTCGGACTTCATCCCACCGCAAAACTGGTTATTTTGTTGGGCAAATTTGAATGCCCACGTGTCCTAGTTCGACATGAATGGCCCTACGACGGCTTTGTCATCACTTGGTCGGTGCCCGTTGCGCTTTAGAAGTGATCAGTTGTCGCGCCGTCGGGTCTGTGGATGCTGGCGGCATCACCTCCGTATACTCAAGATAAGAATACGGAGGTGATGTCGCCAGCAACCCACCTTCGTGGCACAACTGGGCAATGTCGCTGACACAGGCTTGTAGGCTGCTAATCGTGATAGCGACATTGTCCAGTTATGTATCACAAGATTACAAGATCACAGTAGCAGACAACGAAAGCGACCCCACATCGAACACCTCAACCGCTGAGGTGTTCGATGGCGATACGCTTCCTCACGGACGGTGAGCGGTGCGCCAAGCAGATACTTCTAAGATAGCAGTGCCACCCTTGAGGTGGACGCTCGTTTCAATGGCGTGTACAACCAAGGCCCGTACCTATGCTTCGCAGCACATGACCATCCGTGCAAACGTTGTTTACTTCAAAGTACTATTGTACTATTGGATTTTGTTTAATAAGGTGACCTTCGATCCCTCCAAATCGCTCGATTTTGCCCAGAATTCGAGGTCTCTCTATTATTAAAGGGACCATTTGGAGGTGCGGTGGAGATGCAAAATTGGATATTTTGGTTAATTGGGGGGGGGTTATAAATATGACTTTTGGGACTAGCACAGTTCGATGCACACCACCTCGCTGTACTGTATCGCACTACGATGTCTCTGTAGGTCTGAGATACAGTAAGAGC